CCATGCCATCACCTAAACATGGAACTTATGTGCTTAATGTATCCTAGTAGTCTCCTATGCTACTGTGAGAAGAAATATTGTCGCATAAGCCACAATATTCCACACGACGGGCCATAGTAGAACCCTGCCTATATGCACTCCCCCACCATGTTTTCTATGTATCTAGCATGCTTCAGTTTCAAAGTCTCGGCAAGTGTGTTTCTTCTTCTTGAAAAATAGCCCAAGCACTCCTAGCTTTTATTTTCTATAGTTGTTTTTTTTTGTTGTTGTTTATTACTATCACCATGAAGAATGATTTACCCATGATCAACCCTACTGAAAACAATGCTTTGTCACACCTTCAGATTCCTTAATCTGCTAAAACAAGTGTAATAGTTAGTTTAAGTTGTCAAACTGATGCATCTTGGAAAAGGCACTCTCAGTTGAAGAACTGACTCAGTCAAATGGCCTATAGGAATGTCTATGGGGCGATTTGTGGATTATAGATTGATGTAGGAGGACCCAACATAGTGTGGGTAGTATGATCCCTAGGCAGGTGGACAAATAAGTCCTTCCCTTTCCCAACTTGTCTTTAGACATGTTTTCTATGACATCAACATCAAAGCAAAGTAGGTTTTTATGTCTCTTTTTTCTAATTCTTATCATCACCATATAACATTATATACCTTTTTTATTTCCAGACAGGGTTTGTCTGTGTGTAACCCTAGATGATCTAGAACTCACTCTGTAGACCAGGCTGGCCTTGCACTCACAAGGTCTGCCTTTCTCTTCCACCCAAGTGATGGTAATAAAAGCATGAGCAACCACTGCCCAGAAAACATTATATATATTTAGCACCTCTCTTGCTGAAAAGCTTTGTGAAATACAGACAGTATATAATGGCTACTTACAACTCTAAAGATTCTTAATGTAATCTATTTCTAGTAAAGCTAATAAATATGTGAAAGATTATGTGAATTTCATTTGAAGTTAGGAATTAAGTAATGATAAATGTAAATACATTCCAAGTCATTTCCCTATAATTTACAGTTAAAGATGGAAGGACTACAATGTACTCAACAGTTGCATTAGACACTGAGCAATTATAAGACTTTCCCCATTGTTTTATCCACAGGGTATGGGGGTTTGGGATAAGAAAGCATGGGAGTCATTGATCTGAATTCTCTTCTTGACCTTTTCTATTTGCGTGATGTTGGGCGTCTGTTTGAGATACTAAATTTCAGTTCATCCTTCTGTAAATGGTAACTAACAAACCATAACCAAATGACAGCCAGAAGTTTTCTTCTTTACCGCATCACAGCTATGCTGTAAACAGATATGCTTCTATGTGTGTATATTTTTTCCCTGAGGTTTCTCAGGAAGAACTATTTTAGATACACACACACTTCTTGAATGCAGAAAGATAGATAATTTGTACTTACAGAAATCAATAATACTCACACCTAGAAAAATACTAAAGATTATATGTACTCACATTTCTATTATTTATCAAATGCTGGTCATTATTTTGATTGAACTTTTAATAGCTACTTTGTTCCAGATATTTTAGTTCAATTATCTCCAATCCTCACAGCAAAACAGCACGGTATGGCTTGTTAGTTACCTGAAATTTAGTTTGTCAAAGCACATGTCCAATATTATACAACCAGGAAAGGTCAAGAACAGAACTAAGACCAAGGACAGTGTGCATTCTTTCTTATCCCACACCCTGGAGATAGCAATGGTAAAGTCTAATAACTGCTCATATGATTGAGCTCATCTCCTTTCATGCTGTTTTCCATGGTCATGCCATGAACTGGGTTGCAGGCCAATCTCTACCACTCCAGAGAAACAAGGTGACAGTGACAAGGTGGAGCAGGCTGTCATGGAAAGAGTGGGACCTGATTTGACTGGAAGCAAAAATATCCTAATCCAGGCCCTGCAGTGATGAAAAACATTCCACTGTCATGTCGAGTTCATGCAAATCTCTGTACTAAAGGACTTGGGGAAGAATAACAAAACAGAAGACACAATTGAAACTATTTGCTTTCACTTCTTACTTTTGCTAGAAGCCAGCGTATTAGAAACCTTTACAACTATAATTAACCATTGTATGGGTTCTGGCTTTGGGAAGGCATATAAACATTTAAAATGAAGAGAAAAGCTTATTGTAAGTAAGGGCTCAGAGAGTGAAAAGTAAGTATTTTAATTTTTCTTTCATCTGACATTCATTTATGCAGAAGCTAATAACATTTTTGTTGGCTCAGAGCCTCAAGCGGTAACAAGGATATCTCTTCCCAACAATAGCCTTTCCCATGATCTTGGCCAGACGGAACCGTCACTTCAAGGCTTAGGACCATTTGGTCAGAGAAAGACAATGTGATGACACGTCCATCTCTTACACATACGTGTAATTGCTAACTGTTTGAAAACTAATATCATTAAAGGCTGTAACCCTTCTCTAGCTTTTGCAAACAAAACAATAAACACATTAGGAGACAAGACTAGGAGAAATGTCTGTGTGAATGCATAGTCACATGGGAAGGGAATTGTTGAATGTTGAGGAAGAAAATGTCTGATAAGGAGAGTCTTCATAAAAGAAGCATAGTTTATTTTTATGCCCCAGTAAGACATAATTAAATTCCTGTGTCTTTTATAAATGAAAAATTTTATATCTTTGCTACTGATCACCTACGAAACACAGACAACAGTGCCTGAGAAATGCAGAATCGTTGGAAGCTAACATTTTATATGAAATTCCCCACGAATACAGTAAGTCCCATAATGATAGCTTAAAGGTCTAATTCATAAAAACATTATTAAAGTACATTATTTATACCTACCTCTTGTGGACTTCTACTCTTATTCATGAGTCTCAATGTATATGGCTATAATCGCAGGAAGGGTGTATAATGGAAACATTAATTCAATCTGAACTTAGGCAAGAATACTCTACTGCCATAATAAAATCCCAGCTATATCAATTCAAAGCCTGGGATTCATTGCACAAGAACATTCTCTTTTAAAAACTTGAAAAGAACAGCTTACACCTCACAGCCTCAAACATCTTCAACTGTGAAGTTCAGTGCACCATTGACTAATTGGTGCAGACTTTCTAATGAAATATTTATTCCTCCACAGTAGGAAATGTAGATTCAGGTACTGACTTGTGATCATATGGTAGCTGTGGCATTATTAGTATGGTCTTAGAAATATTTGCAAGTCCTTATATTTAATTGGCCTCTTTTCTGACTCATGGTATCAGATGATAATATTTAGCAAATGCCTTTTCAATTACTTGGTATTTTTTTTATTAACTTAGCAATATGGGAAATGCCCTGCTGCATACAGTTTCTCCCAGAGAAGAAACCAAGTGTAATAATACTTTAAAATATCTTTATTCAAAATTTTAAATATACTTTACTTATGCCTAAACCTTGTGGAAAAGGCAAGGTGAATTTTAATTGCCTTATCTCTAACTCTGGAATGATAAAAATTTACCTTCTCAACTTTCTCCTTCAGATTGAACAAGCTGCAGAAGTACTCTGTAGACACATTTAGACAGAGTGTGAATGTGTCTCCTTGCAAGGCTAGATTATCTCAGGGAGCAGTGGAAAGGGGCTCTTTATAAATTATGCTTCCAACACTAAAACAAAGTGTTAGCTTTGATCTTGTAGGTAACAAAGCTCTATACCTGAGGGGATGAATTAATTCTTGTATTTAATTAGACGTAGTTCTTAGACAACTTAAGCATTCATCTTAAAATTGCACATTGGATATCCTCACTCAGCATGGTAAAAAATCTCATGATAGTTCTGAGTAATGAAAAACTTAGAACACTTCAGTTCCTGAAAATGACGGACAAATGACAAAGAGAAAGCTATTTCAAATATATGATAAATAATTCTACCAATTGAAGGTAAAAATCTGTTTGCAATGTTAAGCAATCTTCAAGCCTAAAAATCACAGACTATTTCATTTCAGCAACTGGATGCAAGCACTTGGTTTTGTTATTTGAAATGACTAGACTTACCAGAAAAATGCCCCAGGAAGTCCCAGCTATAGCTGGGCAGCCCTTGATATTTCTTCTTGGTCCCAGTCACACCGAAGCATCTTCAGACATCTGAAACAGACATCTTCCAGGAAGCTTAATGGACATCATTTTGCATGGCAATTTAATGGAACCACACATAATTTTGCGTGGCATTTAGACTTACTACAACCTCATGTAGCTGAGCACTCTGGATTGTGCAACTGCTCAGAAAGGGTAGTGAAGGTAATATCCTTGCCACCCTGCCACACAGATGTCATCAGCTCTAAATATCTGTTGACAAGAGCCAGTGCTGGGAGAAAAAAAAATACCTCAGAAAGGCCTAACACAGTGGTTCTCACCTTTCCTAATGCTGCAACCCTTTAATACAATTCTTCATGTTGTGGTGACCCCCAACCATAAAATTATTTTCATTGCTACTTCATAACTATAATTTTGCTACTTTTATGAATTGTAATGTGACTGACTATCTGGTTTTTGATAGTCTTGGACAACCCCTGAGAAAGGGTCATTTGATCCCCCAAAAGGTCACAACAGGCTGAGAACCATTGGTCTTGCATATTTTTTTTTTTTTTTTTTGGTTTTTCGAGACAGGGTTTCTCTGTAGCTTTGCGCCTTTCCTGGAACTCGCTTTGGAGACCAGGCTGGCCTCGAACTCACAGAGATCCGCCTGGCTCTGCCTCCCGAGTGCTGGGATTAAAGGCGTGCGTCACCACCGCCCGGCTATTTTTAATAAAATAAGTATATGAGTAAAACAAGAAATTTACCTAGAGTTCAGCAAGACACGGTGAAGGATGCTTGATGACACTGTCTAGCTTTGATGGGGTTACTCTTATTTTTAAAATGGGGAAGAGTTGGTATCAGCTTGAGGCTTGTTGGGCAGTCCCAAGGTGCCTGGAGGCATAACCTGGTCAGCAGCAATCCTTTCAACTGAGTTTCTTTAATGGGATGGTTTCAATTTCTTCTCCAGAAAAAGAAGAGGAGGCAAAGAAAGCAGAGAAGAAAGTTACTTCTGAAACAAAAAAGAAAGGTAAGAACAGAAAAGCTACCTAAAACCTAAATCAAATAGTAGTAATTTGTAGCATGGCTGGCAAAGTTACTGTTTTCTAAGAAATAGTTTCTCTTGAATGTCATTGTCATTGAAAACACTCAGGATTTTTCAAATATTCCAAAATAAAATTAGAATTGAAGAAAATATTTAAAACCCTTTATTTGCATATTCATTTAAAAATACGATTTCTCTGTTTAGCACAGCCTGGTCTGGAACTCATGATCCCTCTGCCTCAATGACCTGAAATTCCAAGGCTGCACCTCATTGCCTGGTCCTAAACACATTTGTTAAAAATGTGGTATTTTTCTTTTCATTTTTTGGAGTGACTGCTCATTATATATAGTGTGCATACATGTGTGTAATGAAGATTATTATTGAATTCATTCAATTTTATTAAAAGCAACCATCAAGAGGTCGAATTATTTAAACAGTGGGAAGAATTCATGGAATAGTTTGCTCGACCATTCTTCTTCTTCTTCTTCTTCTTCTTCTTCTTCTTCTTCTTCTTCTTCTTCTTCTTCTTCTTCTTCTTCTTCTCCTTCTTCTCCTTCTTCTCCTTCTTCTTCTTCTTCTTCTTTTCTTTTCTTTTCTTTTCTCAATACTTGTTTGCTAATATTTATCTGATAATATCAAATGATTTTCAGAGAGTTAAAAATTTCTAATATACTTCCATGACCAGATAGCTCAGGTCACACTCAATCTATTCCTTTTAATATATTTCAGGAAACTATTCAGTAATTCTACAGTAATTAATAATGTATTTAATGTTTCTAACTTTGTTAAAGATCTGTTCTCCTTATCAAATTATGCTCCTTCACAGATAGATAGCACACCTAAGCTCAGAGTGTGTTTGGAGGTGACTAGTTTGCCCATTTGTGGCAGGACTTATGGCTTGGACTTACAATTCTCTCTGTAAAGTAAACTGATGCCTTAATGATAGTCATGTGTACTCTGAAACATACACGAATGAATTAGTTAGAGGCTTATAACGTTCTTACTTTACCAGCAGAAAAAGGAGAAGCCAAAAAGAAAAGTGAGAAGGAACCCGACCCTGATGTGAAAAGCAAAGGTATTACTCTTCCTCTGCTTCCTTCCATTGCCTTCAGAGATTTAGTCCATGAATGATCTTGGTGCATTCGTACACGGCTCAGATATAGGTACTCACATCTATCCAAATGTAGTCTTCCAATGTAAAATGTGATCAAAAGTTAAATACACATTAAGATCATTACTCAAGGTTACTGCAATATGTGGGAGTGGTCAAAACTCTATTTGAAATTTAACTCTGCTGAAAAGGAAAGCAGGAGTGTGGGCAAGAGCTGAAATGGAGGACTGACTTCCACAGATGTATACTAGCCTCACTCAAAGAAAAATAAACTTTCTTATATGTTCATTGAAAGCAGCAATTAACAAGTTGAAGTAGCGTGCTGGAGAAGGTTAATCTACTCTCCCACAGAAAGTACGAGATGTGGGCACTGTCTTTCTTTTTGCTTATATTTCCAAGAGGTCCCTCTCACATCTGTGAGAAGAGGGTAGCCCTGGGTGGTAAACATGGAAGTGGACTTTACAAAGATTTGTACGCAATGGGGACAGATAAATGATTTATAATACCTGACTGTGTGAAGTAGTTATTCAAGGTAAATGAAAATAAGCAGCTAAGATAAAGGATCTACGAAAGCCAGTCAAGTTGCTCACCATCTTGGTGAAGATGGAGAAGTCACAGAATCTACTGGAGCACAATGGTGTCACTGTGCAAACAGGAAGCCGAGGAGAGAGTAAAGGTCTTCATTAAGAAATCCATGACAAGCCGGGCGGTGGTGGCGCACGCCTTTAATCCCAGCATTCGGGAGGCAGAGCCAGGCGGATCTCTGTGAGTTCGAGGCCAGCCTGGGCTACCAAGTGAGTTCCAGGAAAAGGCGCAAAGCTACACAGAGAAACCCTGTCTCGAAAAACCAAAAAAAAAAAAAAAAAAAAAAAAAAAAAAAAAAGAAATCCATGACAACCATTTCACAGCTTCGATTTCTGCTTGTAGTTTTGATTTGATGTTTGTACAAACTTAAGCACTGGCTTCTATTCATGTAGGACCTACATATACATGGAATGTTATCATCTCAAGGATTATGGTTTAGTGATAAATATTTTCATCCAACATATTTCCTCTCCCTGTGTCAGGGATGGTTGAAATTCTGCTTAGACCTACTCCATCCTGTTGAGTTATATAGGAATCATGATTCATTCAAATGCAAACATCCCAGGGTTTAAGCAATGGAGTAAAAACTAAACACTTCCCAGGTATTAATAATGTAAACTATATGAGATTTCTAGATCTTCCTGTGATAACAATAAACTGAAAGCGTTCTCTCAAAATGTAGGCAGCCGTTATGCTTAACTGAGGAGGCAACCAAAGAGAGTGTCAAGGTGGGACATAATCAGGGGAGAGCAAACTGGACAGGACAGCAGTAGTCGAACCCTTCCAGGCTCAGGAGGAGTAGGAATAATAGCTTATGTGGGAAGAAGAGGTGGTAGTGAAGGAACCTAAAAAAGGAGACCATGGTATGACAACTAAATAATAACTGTTGTGAATAGAAAATAGGAATGACAGGGCATTCTTCCTACCATAGTATAAAACAAGGTGAAATGTATAACACCAAGGGTTGCTTATGACTTACAAAACAAGCAGGAACAGATAGCAGATCTTCAAAGAGTCTGGGAGTTGACTGCCAATGACTGCAAATAATACCTTTACTGAGGGGGCATTGTTACAGAGTTTATTATATTCTTTGAATTCACCTTAATTTTATGCTAAAACTTAATTTTCTGGTGACATGTATATTTTAGCACATAAAAGGAAGTGAGGTCTTGATTATATGATGATACCAAGAAACTGATTGATTAGGCCAATGGACAGCTACAGGACCGGATGGTAGGTAGATGAGGTGCTACTCCCTGGTCATCAGTTTTGTATAAGCTCTTGGGCTGCAATCCTGAAAAAATTTGTCCAGGAAAACCAGATGAAACTCAAGAGTTGGGGTATCGTGAGTGTGTGTGTGTGTGTGTGTGTGTGTGTGTGTGTGTGTGTGTGTGTGCATATATGTATGTATGTATGTATGTATGTCTGACAGTCTGTCTCTCTTTTGTGTGTGTCTTGTTTGGATTTAGTTAAACTTTGGAACTGACAGCCAAGATATGTGTGTGTACAAGAGAGTCAGGAGAAAATCTGAAACTCCATGATGTGAAGACTTATGACTTTGGTGTCACAGTCATATCAAGGTGAAGCTGTCTATTGCTGGGAACAGCTGTCTGTGGCAATTTCTCTTTCTGCAAGGCCAGGACTATTGATGCAGAAACAAAACCAGCCACTGCTCAGCACACATAAGAAGGGCTAGTGAGATGGAATTGTAAAATACATTTGCCTTTTTGAAACCATGTTTCTGTTTAAGACTTGCATTTTTTTATTTTGATCACAAAAATATCATTGAGTCTTGTAAATATATCCAACTTTATTGGAAATTTATATTATTTGATATTGTGTTTAAAAGTCCTTACCACTCAAATACTAATTTTTATGGTATATATAGAGGTTGTATGTGTGTAAGGAGAGAGAGAAAGAGTTTAATTACTTTCTGAATTAATGTTTCCTTGTAGAATTTGATAATAGTTTCAAAATTTTCATTATTTGAATATAGTTTCGCAACATTTGGTCTTAGGATTCTTACCATGGTAGAAATACTATAGGGCTATGAAAAAATGAAGAATAACTTGAATTTTTAAGTAGATGGCACTCTTGGTTTTCTTTTTTTTTTTCATAGCTGTGATATACATCTGACATAAAGAAGAATGGATGGTATTATTTTGGTGTATGTTTTCAGAGGTTTTAGTCCACCATGGAGTAAGGCCAGACATGCCAGAACTGTGTAACCCATTGAAACTAGGAAACACCTGGGAGAAAAATGAGTGTGGCAGCTAGCTCTCTTCTCTTTTAGTTGATCCAGCCCTGTGGGATAGTGTCACCCACAGTCACAGCAAGTTTTCCTTTCTCAGTTAATTTTTTCTGGAAATACTATAACAGAAACACCCAGATACTCATTAATCTCCCATGTGCTTCTCAAACTAATTAAGTTGAAAATCCACCTTAATAATTCTAAGTGCATATGTCATTTATTCCTGAAATAGTGAAGAAAATATGGCAAGGAATATAACTATGGTAGCTAAAAAGAGTAGCTAATTAAGGAGACAGAAGCCAGGCTTAGGTGCTTATTGAATGCATGATTATTATTATTATGGTTTACAGAATATAAATTCAGTAAATTAACTTTCACGTGACTTACATGCTTACATAATGTGCAGGTTTATTTATGATGCACTACTCTACCTTGTTGCCTTTCTTTTATTATGCAGACAGAAACAAACCAAGGCTTAAATTCCGTGGACTTTACCAGTCGTCCATTTTGGGGGAATATGCAAGTGGTGGTTCGTAAGATGCAAAGCCATCAGCTCATTTTTCAGTAGTAGTTGAAACTCAGTAATTGTAAACTAAAGTTAACTACAGTAGATACCTTGCATTACACATGTAAAAAAAAAATCTCCTTCAAAATTGTGTAAAATAAAAACAAACCAGGATATATTTTAATGGTTAGAAGATACATTCCCACTTGAAGAAATACTATAAAAACAAAAAGAAAACAATACAGGAAATTAAAGCTAATAAAACCCTTTTCCTGAGCTTTGGGTGGGTTTCATTACGCAGTCACATTAATCCACACAGTCAATCAGAGGATATTCCACAAAGGATCTACACTGTACGGGATTTCCAGGAGGGTGTGAAGAATTTCAATCAAGAGTTTGCTTCTGAGTTGTCAGACATTAGGTCAGGAAACAGCTTGAGTCAGCACCACTGACTCTTAAGCACTGTCCAGGCTGAAGACTGGACTCTTTGAGAGAGACAGAGACTTACTGATGCTGTTATTTGCCGAGTCATTCATCTGGTTTGTGGATCTGTTTCTGCTCACTGTTTCATGCAGCTGGCTAGGGGGATACAGTAAGATTCTAATATTAAGTATAGCTGCAGATGGTGCCCCAATTTATTTGTGACGTTCAGTTTTTCCCCACATCTTCGTAGAGTAGAACGCAGGTAAAAGAGGCTGTCCCAAGGGTTCATAGTAATGACACTTTCAGAAATGATTGAGGAGATAAAAATCTAGGTAGAGCCCAGGACATTCGTAGCTTCTAGCCAAGGATAACTATCAAAGTCCTTGTCCAAAAATATTTCCTGAAGACCTGGATTGTATAGTGACCACACATCGTTTTGTTCTCTCTCCAACTAGAAACTGATAATTCAGTCGATGAACAAAATCAAATATGGCAAATTAATACTCACAAGAGAGATTTCAGTACAGTATATGTTGCTCTTAAACTTTGTTTCATGAACTCAAATAATGAAATTCACAGACAGTGGGAGAATAGACTATAGTTTATACCAGGTTTGTATGTGGAGTCTTAAGAGGAAAGAAGTAGACAGAGTACCAATATAGCAAGAGAGGGTCCCAGTAGTAAATGAATTGTCAGGGAAAGAAACTGGCTAAGTGATTAAGAACACTAGTTATTCTTGTAGAGGACCAAGGTTCAGTTCCCAGCCCAACATGGTGGCTCACAACCATCCATAACTTCAGGTCCAGGGAATTTGACATCTTTTTTTGATCCATAAGGGCACCAGGCAAGCATATAGTGCACAAACACACGTGGAGACAAACCACTCATACACATAAAATAAAATGACACCCTGAACAGCCTTAATGCAGCAGGGAGGGCCTTGGACCTGCCTCAACTGAAAGGACCAGCCTTTACTGACTCCCCATGGGAGGCCTTACCTTAGGAGGAGGGATGAGAGGGTCGTCTGTGGTTGGTATGGAAAATGAATAAAAATTTCTTGATAAAGAAAAAAACATAAAAATTAAAAATTAGTTTGCCATCAAAGGTCATTGTCTAGAGGTTAGTAAGCCTTTTCTGGCTTGATGCTTGGGATGTGACCTAGTCAATGTGGTTTTCACACCCCTTAGGTATCTACGTACC